ATATGTTTCTTATTTAGCTAATGTTTTGATTTTTTCACCATGTACAATCTAAATAGCTAATATACTTTTTTAAAAGCCAATAAGAACATTGGTAGAATTCTTCTACATAAGTACAATACTATGTCTTTGATGATAAAATACTATGTCTTTGATGATAATATATTATGTCTTTGTGCTAGAACATTGTGTTCATTGGCGAGCGAGCGCAGCGAGCCATGGTTCACGGCGTGAACCACATAGGATTGCGTAGCAATTCTCGGGGGTTGGCGAGCGTTAGCGAGTAGGGAGCGGAGCCTCCTAGTATTTTTATATTTCAACAAACATTTAATGGGTTTTAATCAAGATATTTTTTTTATATACTTCCTATTTGTATTTATTTTTAACGTTTTGCATTACAATGTTAACCCATTGATACACGAACTTACACAAGTGTAAATCAGTTTCAGCCGCTTGAAAACAATAAGGATGTATAGTATTATCCGATAATTAAGATTTTACGTAAAATCTTTTAGTGCGTCTAGTAGGGATGGTAAATAGACATGTTGTCAAATTGCCAAACATCAGAGAGGCTTCTAGCACAGACCTGTATTGAAATCCTTGCATCAAATTCTCATTTCTTTGCGATTGTTTTCGGCGAAATTCAGTTTCAGTTTCTGTTTTCGAGCAACAAACAGCACACTTTAAAGAGAACGCAAAATACTGCGAAACATGCTTGTATATTTCGCAGAGATATGTCATCTGTTAACCCCGATCTCAATAAGCAATCAAACATCACAGAAAAGCTGAAATGAAATCATGATTTGGAAAAGAGTGGGTTGCACAGTTAAATTTACCGAAAAAATATATCCTTTCAAAGGTCGTGGGTTGTCCGTGGAAATACTATTTTTGACTATGAATTATCCGCTACTATTTACTTTTCTCAAATAAGAAACAGTCTTATATTTTGCATTTGAAAAAATTCTTTCTAGAATAGGGTTCACTAGATGTTTTTTTCCAGGATAAAAGCAGTTCGATGATTTAGTACGAAGAAGCACACTAAGAATATTTATATAAAAAACAAAACACTCAAAACAAGCATTTGCTTTTTCAAAATTTTCAAAACTGAGAGTAAATTATTTCAGAAAGGAAAAAAAAATCTTTTTTGAGATATCTTAATTTATCATCAGCTTATTTCTTTCGAGCATTCTAATTTTATCATTAACATTCATAAAGTTCATTGTTATATTAGCACATTATTTTTTTACTACACAATAGTTTACACCTAACTATACTTACTCCCCAAAACTCCCAACTGTGGATCTGTGAAAAATATATAGAAAAGTTATTGCTTCATTTAATTTCATTATTGATGGTTTCGTATAATGACTAATGGAATAAAAAAAAACATTAAAAGTGAATGGAAAATAGTATTTTTCTTACCGGCCAATGTTGGAGCTAGGAAAAAGGAAAAATAGATCTTATCTTTGCAAATTCATGGTCTAAGTGTTAGAAGTAAAAAGAACTTGACATACATTTTAAGCTAAGCCATGGTGGCTCATAGTATAGAACATTCGTCTTCCAATCAGGTGAACCGGGTTTTAATTCCAGCGATGGCTGATCGATTCGAATTACGTACTCGGATCTCACCAACCACAGTGCTGATATATGAAAATGTGCTGAAAGGGATCATGCCGTCACCCTTGACGTCAAACTAACTTTACGTCAAGCTAATCATGGAAGGCTATAGTGGTTTTTCTCTCCATGTAAAGGAAATGCGGGTTAGTTCCGTTAAGAAGTTCCCCACGATGGCGAGTTTCTCCCAATACTTGATCCATGCGTCCGCTTGTCCTCTCGATTGGGTTCAAAATTAAATGGCTATGGAGTTGAATACTAGTAGTCGTAAACCCAAAATTGGGACGCTGGGTTGGTTATAAAAGTAAAAAGTTACAAAAGAAACGGCATTTTTTCCTTTCGACCCTTCCTTTATCGCAGCATTGTTTCATGTTTACGGGATTAAAATTCTCTTTAATCAAAGCTGAGTCTATTTTAGACTAAAAATTTTGAACCCAATTTAGACGACACGGGAACTCCTGGTTCGAGTATTGGGTGAAATTTGTCTTCGTGGAGGACTTTTTGATAGAACTAACCAGCATTTGTGTTGCATGGAGAGGAAAACCAAGAAAACCTCCCAGGGTTAGGAAGAGGGCAAGCAGACTCTATCCCATGATCCGTCTAACAATGAGGATATTTTAAGTCAGCACTGTGATCGGTGCCATCTGATTGAGGAATTCATATTTGATACTTAGTTATCATTAATGTGCCTTCATTTTCATTATCTTTTTATTTTTCTTTCTTCGTTTTGCCTTTGATAGAAAGTTGAGTTGTTTATCAAATAATGATGAGTTGTTAATCAATTGATGATGAGTTGTTTAACAAATTTCACATTGCTGTTTGATTTTACAGTTTATTTTGATGATCTCGTTTATTTTTTTAAATTAGCTATAAAGCTTTCGTATTGAATTCTCTTTCTTCCTTAAACTGCCTCCTTGCTTATTAGTTGCTTATTAAGAGTATTAATACATTTTTCTAAGTAAAAAACTGAATCTGTTTAGTCTACACTTTCCATGAGGCATTCTTTTAAGATGGGGCCTGTCGTCGGAAATAAAAGTCCAGAAATAGTTTTTTTTTTTGATTGATGATTCATTCTCTAAGCATCAAAATATCTCCCTAAATTTATACCTCATCAGTCGTTGCAAAATTTACTAGTTTGATGAAAGTATTGTCAGTTATATTACATTGAACCCTACAGGTTGTAACTGTTATAATCGCCATATCGTCAACTAAAGGATTTTTGATACGTTTTTCTTTACGTTAAATTTTGGTTGCAATGAAAAATTAATGCGGCACGTAGGGAAAAAGTTAAAATAGCTGAACAAACTAATAAAACTCTAAATATTTTGATTTTTAAATAGATTTTCATTCAATATTTAAAATGATTAAAAAATGCATAATTTAATATTTTTTTTTTCAATAAAGTTGATTTATGAAGAATTTAGCCCCACTATGTATAAATAATTTAAATAAGTATATATGCATGCAGTCATTTTTACACACTGGGAATCTATTTTTTTACTAATTCTTAAAAGCCCTTAATCTTATTTCGTGTGCGAGGATTTGAAATGTGAAATTAGTTCCGTTCCGAAAGCTATGCTTTTTTTTATTTGAAAAGGAAAAGAAATAATGTATAGGTTTATATTCATAAATTCGTACTTGTCTGCTCTTTTAAAAATAAAACTTAAGACAAAAAGCATAAGACCTCAACGAATCCTATCCCTAACTTAAAT